TTGCGAAATATAGTCACGCGCGTGATTAGGACAATGCTACCATAAATATGCATGGCGAAGTTATGCGCGTGAATCATGGGATGCGACAAGACCAACGACGGCAGGAATCGTGTAGTCACGATTTTGTTGCGACTATATCTGACCGTATATCCGGTATCCGGTTCCAGTACAGTGTCGGTGCCAATGAACCGTGATCGATTTCCAGTTTCGATTGTGAGGTCGATCTTTCAGCGAGCAACGCTCACTTGCTCGCACGTTTTCTCGAAGGTCACCTCAATTGCGAAACGACACAGATATTAATGAACACAACGGTCATTTTTTACGCGTTATATAGGAAACGAATTTACGTGTTTATTCGGGATCCTAGATTTTGAACCACGCTAGCTTTTCAAAATGCAAAATCTAAATCGCAAAATGTAAAATCTGAAATTGCAAAGTCTATTACGACAAATCTTTTACGTTACAAAAAATATGTTCTTAAAAGTGAACATAAATACTTTGTGTATTGGAAAAATATTTTTTAGAATAATATTTAAGAGAGTTGCAAATATTTTAATGGATATGTAATATTAGCAAAAACTTGTAATAAACTCTTGAGATATGATGTATACCAATTTGTCTGATACGTTCTAAATTCACAAATATTTACGAACCACGAGAAATCCGCAGAATTAAAATAGTTTCCCCATCCGAGGAGCAATTTTGAAGGTCAATGTCGGGCAAGCAAAATAATCAAGTTTTCTTTTTCACCGACTCGCGTCCGAGGAGACCGCTATTCTGATCGACGTCACGTTGTTGTTCTAAGCTACTATTCTCGGCACGCGGTTTACCATAATAAACTCGACAAAGGCATTCCGCTATCGCCATCTGTTGGGAAATGCAACGAGCTGCACCTCTTTGATTAAGTGCATTCGGTGCAGCAGAGTTATTTCACCCAGCAGGCAACGCTGATTGTCTGTTGCAGGCGCAAGTTATGCGAATACACGTAATGCCAGTCATGCATTGTGATAATTTTTCGCGAGGACATACTATTTCAAAAACACCTTACAATTTTCTGTACACACTATATATTCTTTAGTCCTCTTGTTTAAAAATATATTTATTGCCCTGGCAATTGGCAAATCACGTATATAAAAGTATGCGATTTCGTTTTTACGAATATTTTCTAAATAAATAGATCGATTAAAAAATAAAGTTAATATTACTTGTATCATATGATATTTTGTTCGTATTATAGCATTGAACGTATAGTATTATAGTATTGAACGATTTAAGTCGATAGTAAAATAGTTCAAAATTGAAACCATGGGAATGATCACTCACCCTTCTCCCTGCAGTCTATTATCGGCTACTTGCACGGGTAACGGTGCCGCTAGTTGTCTGACTAATTCGTCCCTCTCCCTTTCCTTCTGCTGTATAGTCTCCTGCAACCTCTGCTTCTGCTTCTGGTATTCCTTAAACAGACCCCCATTATAACTTTGTTCGAGGTGGTCTCCCGGTGCAGCCGTTCTAACCGGAATCGCCGTCGGTTCTGTAATTTTGGCCGCGACTCCCGTGGGCTTTTCCGCTAAAGAGTCTCTTCTGGAACTCCTGGCGGTCGAAGGCGCCGGCGATTCTCTGCCAGTCACTCTACGTTCTGGCGTGGATGTCGCTGAAGGGTCTATGTCAACACCTATTATGAAAATTGCACGTTACTCTCTTGAAATAATTTAATTCGGTAAAATTTTGAAAGAAAAGTTAGCAAAACTACTCATCAAATTGTTATTAATGTAGTTAAGTAAACAAAGTTAAACCAATTAAGGTTTTATGTCTTATGGGTGCATAAACTGTGCCATTCAAATACATATCATGTAATTAAAACCGCACAAAATAAGAAATCTGTGATTGTTTCAAGAGAAACTCGCGAGATTTTTATAAAATTTTTCACACCAACGATACGTAAAAAATCGAAGGATATTTCCAAGACTTATGAATTTTTAAGTCTCGTGACATCACGCACTTTAAAAACTCACCTTCGGGGCTCTTGGAGTGCCCTCTCGTCCTCGGCGGGACCTTAGGTTGAGCATTCATCTCTTGTATGGAGGGCAGCTGTTGGAACTCGGCATAATTCGAGCTAAGGAAGACGTCACCCTCGTTTTCGAAGAGCCTATCGACGCTGGTATTCATCAGTTTGTTATTCTTGAAGCCGGTCAAGTGGAAGCTAGCGAAGGACGACCTAGACATGGGGTTTATGTCGCCAGTGGAAAGTGCCATCAGCGCCGCGGATGGTATGTTTGTGTTCTTGGGCCCAGGACTCCTCGGCCCGAGGCCAGCTTCTAAAGCTGGAACTAGACTGCGCGACATCATATCCGCGGCGGATCTTGGCCTGGTGAACGGCATGGCGCTGTGCGGAAAGGTCTTCGGCTTGATCGGAGTTATTAGCATGTGCTCCGTCCACGAGGTCTCCAATGAGGGCCTCTCGAGGCGTTCTACGTCGACGTTCAGGGTTCTTTGCGCGAACGGCACTGCGAACGTCTCGGGAGGTATACTTTGAAGCCACGAGAGCAAACTCAAGTCGGAATCACTGAAACCTACGGATCCGTCTAGTAGCCTCGAGAAACTCATTTCCACCTATAACACGAAACGGGACGAGACGATTAAATCATGAAAAAATTAAACATATAGAATATATTTTATAAATAAGGTGTCTCTTTATTATGTAATTTGTGTCTACATATAAGAAGTGGAAATAATTGTAATTTCGATGTTATATATATTTTTTTAATTGATAATATTAATATATTATTATTAATTTACAATATTTTATTATTATTAATTTACAATATTTTATTACTAATATATAATATAATAATGATATCAACCAGATCATTACTATTATTATTACATTATTATATAACTGTATATAAATATGTGATAGAAAAATATGTAATCTTGTCAAACTTCTAAAAAATCGATCAGTGCATTAAAACGCCAAGAATATAAAGAAGAAAATTACCTGTTCGCTCTCTTTCGATCCGGTAGCTTTCGCTTGGCAGTAATTAACGCAGGACTCGTACAAAATGCCCTTGATGATGAGTTGAATGAGTCGATCATTTTTCGCCGAGGTCACCGGATGCGTGGAGTCAATGCCCTTCCTATCACCTGGCAGGAACTTCTCTACCAAGGGATGCACCTCTCGGAAGCATTGTACCCTGGCGTTGCTGGGGTTCCAGTCCTTGTACTGCAGGTGATCCGTTAGCCGCGGTAGAGTGAGCAATAGGCATAGACTACTGTATTCCTCCTTGGAGGGAGCGACTTTCTCAAGGTCGCTCAACACCTTGACGACTTCCTCCACGGCGTTATCCACGCTATTGTTTGTGCTGGTAGCGATAATGTTCGCCTCGGACTTGATGCACAGCAGCTCGACGTATTTGTGACGCAGGATCGAATATGTGAACTTCCTCATGTCGAAGTCCGAGAGCGCCTCCAGGGGCTGAATGAACTCCAGCACGTCGTCCCATTGTCCGTCGAGGATCAGCTGGCGCAGGAAGAGCACGTCGTCGCTGTACTGACCGTTTATCACCCCGGTCTCGCGCTCCAATGAGAGCTGTGAGATGTGAAGGTCACGGCTATGGAGGAACTCCAAGGTCAGTCGCACCACGTCCTCCTCGCGCAGCGTCAGGTGCGCCGCCGGCATCACGTACCGAATACGCAACCTGTGCAAATTAGAAAACAAATTGGCGAATTACGACTCTTGTCACTTTCCGTGAATCGCGCGAGGGTCCGTGATTTACGAGATACTACATCTACAAAATTCCGCTCGCCAACCAACCGAGTTATTACCCTAGGGGGCCAGTGGAGGAGAACGTGAGGTAACGCGCCGAGAAATTATGATACAAGTATTAGCAACTATAAGTTACGGGCAGGACTTCGCAGGTATTGCTTAATCAATGTAACAAAAGTAACGATAACGTAATTAACGCAACACTAGTTGAAACATTTACACATAACATAAAATATAACATATCATAAAAACAATTTAACATAAAAACAAATTGTCATACGTATTATAATAACTTGATGTAATAAAATGCACTGACATACATAACTGTCTATTATACGAACAGCTAGTGAGTCTGAGAAATTATTAAATTATTATAACTCACGCGTCTTTTTCTCTCTTTGTGGATGTATAAAAAAATAACGCACGTTAACTGTTAATTGCGATATTTTATCCTTTGTGTGTGTGTGTGTATTATATATATAAATTATTGTTACTATCATACACGATCATTGCTATTATTATACTATATAGTATAGTTTTAGAATGCAAATAATGTTGAATTTCTTGCAGATGTTCTGACACAACAAAATATAAAAGAAAGAAATATCCAGCAGATATTGTTGTTTGCAGCAACTGTGATTATCGTCGTTATTGTGGTGTGATTTCTATGCAAATTTTTGCCTAATGATTTACCCGTCATTCGCCTCTACTCACTAAATACAGACGACGCAGGAAAAATATTTGTATTCGGAGAACGGCTCGACAGCGGAAGGAGTCTACGTCTGCATGTAGCCACCCACTTACGCGTTAATCAGTGCACGTCTGCGAGTGCGCTGGCCCCGAAATGCAATGAGCTCTCGTGAGGAAGCGCATTTTCGCGCATTCCGTACATGCATATCGTTGGCGAGTTTCGCAATCTCATGAATTTTTCCTACAAGTGGAAGTCCCCTTCGCGAATTGAACGCGATCTTTGTTCGTGAAAACTGGTTGATCGCATAAACATCTGCTGAAACATTCGTGATACTATAACGCAATCGCGTTCGCCGTACCGTATTTAGAGAAATAACTTGCGAAACCATTCACGAGTACGCGAATCGTATTTTCGATCGATTAACAAAGCAACAGTTCAAGCTGACAATACGTTGCCGGAAACCCTGAATAGCTATCTTCGTATCCGTTGGAGAAACATTTGATGACAATTGGATTTTCGCTACGAACGGTTTCGCAAACAGCCGTATTGTGCAAGTTAGTCGAATCGCGCGAGGCACACGAAACTCGTAACATCAGCGATTTCGTGAGTTAATTTGTTGCCTCGCGACGAACGACTTGTATCAGTCTCGATCAAACCGTAGCAAGAGCAGCACGAAATCGCGATGCTCGCGTATCAAGGAATAGTAAGTGGAGTCTTTTATACTTAACATATCTTCAATTAATATATCCCAGTTAACCTTCCTTATATTTTTGCAAACAAATCCAATCTTCATCATTGAAATATACAAAAAGCAATTTAAGAAAAGAGGAATATTAGAGACGAATCGATCTTGTATTATGCTTTGGTTTATTATTAAAGAAGATTTTATCGTTGATTTGAAGGTAGTTTCAATCATCCAGAGATTCTAATGTTGAAAATTAGATTTATTTGCAAAAATGTAATTAGAATCTCTGAGCAATTAAACCGCCTATTAAATCAATGCTGACGAAATATTCTTTAATAACGAATAAGCACATAATACACAAAATCGTGTACGATTCATTCCTAATATTCCTCCTTTTCTAAATTGCTCTTTATACATTTCAATGATGCTATAATAGGTTTATAGATTTGTAAGCAATAATATTCACGAATAATTTCGGGAATTTTATTTCCGCAATCGAGCACATCCGTTCGAGAATAGTTTATATAGAGTTCGTTTAATCGTTTCAGTTCCTAGCGGTGACAATTTCGACGGCGAGCGTCGTGCTCGCCGACGTCCTCGTTCAGCCTGGTTACTATTACGACAATAATCGACACAATCCGTCGTATCAACCTGCTGATCCACAATACCAGCCGTCGTTTCCGGCCGGGCAATACTACACGAAACAACTTACGGACCAGCAATTAATGCCACATCCTAGAAGAGGTCAGGTAGTTTATCCTCATAACGGGTATCAAAACTACTATCGGCCATACCTCGTGGGACATCCGGCGTATCATCATCATCATCACCACCCCTACGTGGTACCACATCATACGCACTACGCAAAAATCGAAGGACATGGATATGTCCGGCCGTCGATATTCCATGATTATTGGCATCCCGTGGTGAATATTTATCTAATAATTATTAATAATTTATCTAATAATAATTAGATGTAATAATCATATATGTTTATCTACTAAATTATGTATAAATGTTTTATCTACTTAGGGTCGGTCATTCCAACTTTTTGATAAGTTAACTGAAGATTAAATGATATATCTCTGTTTTTGTTTTTCCTTCAACTCAGACACATATATGATTTAACTATCAGTTAATTTACCAAGAAGTTGGAATAACCGACCCTTACTGAAGGACGATAGGTAAAATGAGCTGATTTTAGGCTAAAAAGCGTAATATAAATTATACATGTATTGAATATAATGGTAGCATTTTTATCCATCTAAACTCAGGGGAAAGTGATCAAAATTCACCGTAAAAGGATTGAAATAAATCACTTTTAATAGTAATTTGGTTAATGACGATTTTGTGTGTGTTCTAATTACTTAATTGTATCATAACTTTTTTCCACTAAAAACTGAAGAAACACTTAAAAATACTAAATTACTAAAAATATTATTTAAATAATTAAAAATACTAAATACATTGTAAGTTCTTTGATAAAATCTCTAAAATAGTGTAGAAGTCCACCATTGACCATTTTGGCATTCTTAAAGCTGCACAATGTATGCAAGTACACATCTAATCAGAATCACACAAGATCTTTTGAACAAAAAAAATTGATTATCTATTTTTAATTTTTATATCATATTGATGTCGCTGTGTCTGATTCAATATCTAAAATTTTTAAGTATTTCCTTGTTTTTCGGTTAATTTTTCAAGAAAAAAGTAATAGAACTAAACTATAACACAAATAAAAAGCCGTGCATTTTATCCATCGTCCTTTCTCCGGATGGAATCTCACTGAAAACGAGTGAACAGTGATAGCATTTTCACTCAAAGCGATAGTAAAAATACTTCCACTCGAAATCGCAAGAACGAATGTTTCACTCAAGCTTAGAGTGGATTCCATATGAGTGAATATTTCAATCGATCAGGGTGAATATATGTCTGTGACGATGAAGTGCACAAGATTTCCTCTTCAATTTCAAGCGAATATATTCGCTGGCTGATTCAGAGTGAGAAATTCACTTTATATGAGTAAAAAATCACTCGAATTCGAACGATTCAATCTAGTCACTCTTACTTTCCAAGTGAAATTTTACTGCAAAAAATTTAGAGAATACTCGGAACGAAAAGGAGAAACGTTCGAATAATTTAATAAAAGATGACATATATCTTGTAACGTTCAATATTTTGACGTTAATGCGACCCATGCTACGCCAATTTTATGCGACCTTCGGCTCATGTCATTTCTTAAAGTCTGCATTTTCTTAGATAGGACACTACCGATATAAAAGATCCCCCGTACAATCCCATGACACCACAGTGGAGGAACTCGCCAAACCTGCGCTCGTTAACCATGAAGTGGCCACGAAGCCGTCCCTAATGACTACGAAATATTCTACGGTTATCGACTCACATCTTCAGGAAAACGAGCCTGCCGGTACTGATAGTAAGTGTTTCCGAAGAATGACTAACTGATGTATATTTCCGCGAATTGCGTTGCCTGCTTCCGATTTCGTCGCGACTTCGGCTTTGAAACATTACGCAATTCGCTGAGACACGAACGCGAGTCGTGCATCAATTTCCCTGAGCTATTCAATAATAATTACAGATAAGCGTTCGGAGGGCAAGCGTCAGAGCAAAAACGATCACGTTACCACGGGACCGATGTTATTCGGCCTCTATCCACAAAATATGCATCGCGATTCTCGTCAACTTGGCGCCATTTCAGATCCTACGAAACCCTCGAGTGTTTCGATACGCTCAAGTATTCACAACATGCCGAAGTATCCAAATGGAAAATCCATGATGAATTCTGGTACGACGATTGTGGTGAACCCGATACAGGAGACGTCAACAACAATGACCTCTCAGGGAACTGGACCAAAAGAAGATAATAAAAATCAACAGCAGAATCAGACGCCTCTCACGGATCCAAATGAACTCTCGAGTTCGATTTCGTCGTCGAACAGAGCATCGGACGAAGAGTCGGTCGGCGCTGCTCGTGATTACTATAACCACGGAAAAGTGTTCGAATGGCCAATCATGCCATCAGAATTCTATACACCGCTGCGATACGGAACATGGAATTTGCCAAGTTTGTACAACCCGATATACGTGCGATATAAGTTCCCCGATCCTAGGCAGAACTATGTGTCAATGAAATTGGAACCACGCTATCAGCAGAATGAGTATCCGATATCGGATAAGAAATCTCCACTGGTGAGTCTCTAACGACGATATAATTTTTACTTCGTGTATATAGAGAGTACTCGCTAGTCACACACTGTGAATTTTTACATTTAAGAATATGTTTTGCATCGATTGCATTGAAATATCTTATTTTTATTGTAGTATATATTTTCCGTATTCGTATATACATATATTAACTCGTATATACATATATTAACTTCGATTACTTCGCAGGTCATTTTGGGAATAGTTGAAATTTCAACGGTCTATTACGAATTTTGCTAAACAAATAAAATTTATAACATTAGTGGCTAAACAATGTTTTGACGAGAAAGTAGAGACCTAAATGAGAATTATCAGACCATATGCTTGCTCCGACTTTTTTTATTTGTATATATGAGAAGAAAAGTGACACTGTCTGGAATAAACAACGTTAGTAAAAAATAGGGGAGCAGACACGAAGGGTTAAAAATTCTAAAAATATAACATATACTACAATATAGTATATCATATATTTTTAGTCAGAATAAAAATACATCTAACCTGTTTTCTTGCGTTTAAAAGGCTACGGTATAATAATAAGTCGAACACTTTGTCGTCAAATCGTTGATAACCCTTTCTGGCTTCTAGTTGAATATGAATCTTTAAAGATGAGCTGTTTAGAAACAAGCAACTCACGTGTAAGACGTATAAGATATAGACGTATAAGATATCTTTGAATATTCTCTACTTTTATAAACAATAATTAAAATGTTTTTTTTCTCTCCTTTGTCTATTTGCAGAAGTCACGTAAGTACAACAAGGAGCAATCAAAAACCAACCAGCTGACTGGCGCGTCAAATCCCAACAACGATTATAGAGCGGCGAGTTCCTGCGATTCCTCTCCAGATTACTCCGACTATCGGTCCATCTACGACGATCTTATTCCAGTAGAAATGCACAATACATACGCGCCGGTTACGTATCCGATCGATCTGGACTATTACACGACTTACCAGAGCAGTGATACCCAAATTAACCCGATGACGAACATCGTTCAGACCTCGCCGTATGTGACGCAACTTTTAAACACCTACGATAACCCGATGAGTACAAGATATGTTTCCGTACCGCAAACTTATTATCACCACAATCCCGCCTTGACCTACGACAACGCGCCGTTCGAAGGTACATTTTCGTTTCCGAACTATTATTAGTGTCAGGCTGCTATTACAAGTACGACGCGCTGCCCATCGATTCGTACCGCGCCTCGCATCTCGAAGCAACGAGCCGATTGACCGTAAGAATTTTTCATGATCTATTTATCATATGTTACGTATATCTCTTACGCCATACACATAATTTTATACACGCGCCCGCCTTTCATCGAGCTCCGTCCACTCGTTAGTTAGATTTTCCTCACACAAGGTAAATGTCCCAATGACTGAACGAGAATAAGAAAGCACAATCAGTTTAACATTTCTATGAATAAATAATTAATAGTATCATTAATGAAAGTAACGTTTCTATGAAACTATGGTTTGTTAGCGATCGAGAAATAATAGCAAAGATAAAATAATCAATAAGTATTAATTATAATTATAAGTATTAATTATAATCTTAACAAGATATTAGATAATGACGGTTTTATCAATAATTAAACTGGAACATAAATCACATGTTCTAATTACCGAGTAAAATTTAATGACCGAATAATCATGATTAAATAATATTACAAATTGGCACAAGGAAATGTCTTTCTAACAAAATTTTAAAGGCTCTTTTTTTTAGAAATATTAAATACAAATATATATTATTAAAGTTCCAATTATTGAAACATTATTCAATTGCTAGGGCATTTACTTTATCTTTCTGCAAATAAAAATTGCTATATTTCAATTCGATATTGAGCTTTAGTATAAATTTCGGTATGCGCTAATGCTTTATGTTTAAATTTTGATGGCACTGCCATCAAATGCATTGAATACATTTTCAATATAGACGTAGATTTCATTTCGCATTGTAAAAGTAGTCCCATTTGGAATAACTTGCATTTAGTACAAAGGTATATAAAAAATTACATTTTCATATAATGTAATCAAATTTTTTTAATACAACTTAACTCTAATTAGACATATATGTACGCACACGAAGAAGATATTGTAGTAAAAATTGCGTGAAAATTAAGTTTCTTTTTATAATATTTTGTGCAAAGTTAAACTACATTAAATTGCAGCACAAATTACTATAGAAACAATAAGTTGATAATTTATCTAGTATATAATATAAAAAATCAAGTAATTATAATAATTTTGCACTAAAAAGTTAAACGTGTATAAAAATCTTTGAACAAATATGTAGTAATTTCGGACATAAGATTATAAAGAAATTTTGTCATAACTTACACTGAAAGAAAAATACAATTGTTTTTGACGTCAACTATACTTTTTTTGTGATTTTAACCACAAAAATAGTTACAAAAACCATTGTTTTAATAAGTGTTATTAGAAAGATGATTCTTCTAATTATTTTTTTAGTTAAAATCACAAAAAGGTATAGTTGACGCCGGAAGCAACTATATTTTTCTTTCAGTATATATTATAATATTTCTTCCATGTGTATAAACCATTTTAATTTGCGTGTGTAACTGTATACTATTCCGAAATAAATATGATTAAAACAAAATATAAGTGGTAACAGCATAAGCGCAATTAATGGCGCAGACTGTGACAGTGTACTTTTCACGGAAGTTTCACGAGAAAAACGTAAAATCCATCCTGTGCATTCTTTCGATACAAAAGTCAATTAACAACGATGGATTTTTACAATCGGGGATAGGCCAGTAATATCCGGATCGTGTGTTCAGAATTACGAGCTTTCATCAGGGAGTGTAAATTGAGAACACTTTCACAGGTAAACTTAACGATTACAGTTGCGCGAATCACGCGCCGGCCGACGTGATGAAACGAAAATTCAATTTCAGACAATTTGCCGAGAGAGTTAATTGAGCCGCGCGTGTGAAGAGGAGGACCGAGGCGTCGTCCGTCTGTAAAACGTGCGGACGCTTGCCGGAAAAGGAGGGCAAACACCGATCGAGCAATTTCTGATTCGCCTCCGGGACATCTTGCCGCGATGAAATGCAATTTCTTCGATTCCCGGAAACCCCCCGCGCGAACGTTTATCTATCGTTAAAGCCGTCGCATAAAATAAACATCCATACGTTTCATAGGCCCAAGAAATTTAAAATAAGTAGGATATTTTTCAGACATTTATATGCTGTATAAGTATAGTATATGTGACATTATATATATAATCGTGATTCACTGAGAAGCTAACATCTAATTCTAAATTCAAATATATCTTACTGTATCTAGACAAGTTTCAAATAACGACTATTAATACGGGTCTTAGGCCTGTGTTATAGTTGTCAAACCTGCCTGAAACAGCTTCATGTCAGATGCTCAGATTTTTATTCAAGGTCAGATCCAAGTTTTCCAGTTGAATTATGATATATGTGGCATTTTGGGTAAATCACACAATTATTAGTATTCTCTTTAGTCATTGGCATTCTTCAAAAATTTCGTATTTTATATGAGCAGCATTGCAGTTCTTGCAATTTCTTGCATATATGATTCCAAAAGAGATCTTCAAAACTAAAATTTTGAACATATACCGTTGGTCACGAAAAAAACCAAATTCTTTGAGAGTATCAATAACTAATCAAGAGGATATCAATAATTATGTGATTTACCATGTAGTTATAATCATGATTCAACTAAATTATGCGATTAGATCAACGATAGTTGAAAACAAAACACATCATACACTATATTTCAGGTTTGCTATTCTTTTACAGTTGACTAAATTTTGTAGTTCGGATTCCTTCCAGATTGTTGACTCGATTGCAACAAAATACGCGTAATGAAGCTTGAGACTTGAGACTGAATTTTTAAGCCATTTTAATTTTTGATCCACCAGCGTGCGTTATCGAATGGAATTAAATGGCAAAGCTTTAGCCACCGCTATATATGACTTGCAGTATATGACGTGATATTCCAATGGGATTGAGCAAAATAATACCTCGCTCTGTGGAGTCAATTGACGACGATCGCGATGTCCATTGATCGAGACGCATCGTTGACTCCATCGGATGCACGTGTAATGGCCGGCAGCCGATTATAGCAGGTCGTAAACTCTTCGTCTAATAACGCGACGAGCTAACGGGGCCCTGAGGCGTTTAAAGCGCGTTGAAAGTTATGAAACGAGACGTAAAAGGCACGCACCGTGTTTAGCAACGATCTAATTGCCATTGCAATCGCGCGAACGTATATCGCGATACAGATTCCGTCGTTCTCAATGCTAACCGACGAAGTCGTTCTCAATGTTAATCCCCACGATTCGGTCCCTCGCGTTCTCTTCTCTTTCAGCATGACGAATCTTCCTTGTCGAGTGAAGAGAAAAATAATACGTTTTAATGTCTGGGACATAACGTGAAATAGGCGCGCTTTGACATTATCTCATGCAAGAGCACAATATTGCCGTCACACATGGTTGATCGATTCAAAATTTAAGAGGAAGTACGTTTACCGGGCGGAAGTTACGAATCGCCGGCGAGTCGTTCCACAACGTTTGGCGTAATAACGGTCGCAGGAATTGGCCGTTATTCGTGTAACAGGCGAGTTAGCCCAGCTACAATTAAACACTAATTAACAGTCAACGTGGGGCCCTAATTGTCTGCCGAAAAACGCGCAATGACCGTCTGCCAGACTTTGTATTGCCGGTTAATGCGTGGGCACAAATTAATTAAATGAGTAGGTTCCAGTTTTTCAAGAGTACGAGAAGAAGAATTCCTGGATCATGGGTTTTTCACATCTCGATCACGTTTTAAGACGATGGAGTCACGTCAAAACTTTTGTGAGCTGTCAGCAATCCAGAACTTGAAGAATCCCAAGTGCATAGATTTCCAACTGTTCGAAAAATCTCGGCATTTCAGAGCCGGCAACTTCGCAACAAAATTAGAACTTTAGCTCTTCTTCGAATCTTTCTCCATTCTTCCACACAGAAAAGAAGGATATTCTTGTTTGGAAAATATCTTTATTTTTGAGCGCAGATAAAACATTTGTTAGAATATATCTTATATGATTCGACGAAAGAAAACCTGTGTTTTTATAATTCTAAAATAACCTTCATGGAAAACACAAAATATTGAGTTGAAAATATAATATTTTTATAAATTGTGTGTTATATCCTATCCGTTTAAAACTAATATACTCAAATTAACAATCTATGTCTCATACATAAAACAATCATTGTCTCACATACAAGCAACAATATACTTTGTTAGAAGAATTTTATTGTCTTGAGTTTCAATAATGTTATAATTTTATTTGAATATTGTAATAGTCTCATAAAAAGTACAACGTGATTATTTTGATGATAACGATATCTTCATTTGAAAACATTTAAAAACATTATATTCTCAATCTAATATTTCCTGCTTTTCATTAGTAAAAATTATTTTTGGACAATAAGAATACAGTTTGGTTCGCGTTGAATCGTGTAAGTATATATTCTTATAAGTGCCTTATCTTCGATATGTTAACGCTATGTAACCTCATTTGAAGATTAATATGTTAAAAATAAAAATACTGTCTGAACAAGAATGTCCTTTTTTCTGTACGTCCTTCGCATCTTTAAACGCGGAGAGATCTCAGGACTTCTCTTCGATACTTCGATCTTGTAAACAAAGCGCGTCGAGGTTTTCTCGCCGGTTGCCGATTTTATCGGGGGTGAGGGAGAACAGGAGTACGATACGGTAGAAATACGACTCCAATTCCGTCTCGATTCGCAAGAGCGAAAAAATTTCAAACGCAAAAAGCACCATCGTCTCGTCAAAGAGAACGCCGTGACTGGCAGCGCGCTCGTGCTTATCGCCCGGAGCTGCATTTAGTCGCCCCCGACTACAACTTCAACATCTCCTTGACTCTTTGCCGCCGTCTCTGGTTCCCACGTCGTTCGTAATTCCAGCTTTCCACCGGCGACATCGCACGTACCCTCACGTGGACGTTACAGGAGAGCGGGCGACATGGACCGTCCGTTAATTTATACCACAACCCTTGAGGCGATTCAATATAACGGCGTATCCTTCCGCAGGACGGAATTAATCGGGCATGCAAATGAGAGACGGGATAGCATATCGACCTGCCGATTCTCGCGCGCTTCGTCTTTCCGTATCCATCCATTTTCCCGGTTAACCGGGACGATAAAAGTCCTATGATCGCAGGAAATATGGATATGAAATCTATGGTGTCTCCCTCGCTTCAATGGAATAATGCACATGAGATAATGTCAGGTTGGTACACGAATTATGTCACAGATTGCGTATTAATCATATAGTGATAATATAATTGATATTATTAATGATTTCGAATATTTTAACTTTCGAAATTGGAGTAATAATTATATAAATCGTATAAAAGGATCAAGTAAAAATAAAACTTGTATACACCAGAATATTTAATATTTTAACGTAAGGAAAAGTTAAATTTAGATATATACGAATGTTGTCAGAAATTATTGACGATACACAGAATAGATACACCGAGAAACAAATATCTAAAAAATATTTATTCGGTGAATACTAACACATTTATTGCAGCATATAAAGTGATTGGAGCTTCTGATGTAACAGCGCGAAAGAATACTTGGACGCGTGAGGTCGCAATCATCGAAGAAACACATCCTCGGGTTTTTAAAAATGGAGGACCGGTCGACATGACGAAAACTATATAGCAATCGGCCAGAGAATTTGCATCGCCCGCAGGAAGAGGCCGGTGAATATTGTCGCACGGCACCTATCTCCGTGGATAAATCAAGCGTCGAATACCGGTCTCGACTCACGGGGTCAAAGCTGACCCGCTGAATACCTCCATTACGGGATGGCTAATGGTTTCTTTGCGCGTTTCTATCCACCGCGAAGAAAGCCCTCTCTGGAAATCTCGCCGCTGGTTAATGAAAAAGAAACGGAAAGCTCGTTCCTCCACCGAGTCTCATCCCAGATCACTAACGCGGGTTCAACGTGCCGAACTTAGCATCACGCTATCGCGGAGTTACCGTCGCTCGTCATCGCTAAATACCTCGCCGGATTATACTCACCAACGCTAAATATCTCGTCAAATTGAATTCTTAATGTCAAATAATTCAGCGAGTCGAGAAGATTTACACGCGAAGAAAACAGTATGGTTGGCTCGCATATAAATCTGGTTATGCCAAACAGATTCAATAGTAAAATACGGGACAACTAATTATGTGGTCGCTGCAGCCAATTGCTGAGTTAGATCAGGAGCACACAGAAAAAGCAGTAAAATTTAAGCAGTAAGAAAATTGACCAATCACAGTCGGCGATTCTCTTTACAGAAGAAGAATAATCGATTGTGATTGTTCAAATTTCTTACTGTTTATGTTTTTCTGCCGTTCCTCCACCGGAAGACATGGTCTTCACTAACGTTGCAGCAATGACGACACCTGACACATACATATTTTTTACTTATGCGAAGTACATGAATTATTGAGAAAGCAAAATACACATAAAGAACAATAAATCTTTTGGATATAACTACTAAAGATTTGATTGATCCTATTTGAACTAAGTTATGGTCTGATGTGCCAAATTTTCGTCTCGACAA